CAGCCTGAGGAACAGACAGTGAGCCTGTCTGGAAATAATGTTTTATGTTGTAAAAGCCTAATAACAATGTTTTGTCGTGAATGTATGTAAATGTTCTGCTAACTGTTAGTGCTTCATTGGCACTGTATCTCATCAGTCAGGCCAGTAAGTCCCTGTTAAGTGGAGACAGAGGGAATCTCTCAAGTCTCATTTTCTCTCTTGGAGAAATCAAGCCTAGAAATGATGTCTTCAGGTAGGAGATGTACAGACAGGTTGATGTCTGATCCTGTCATTGGTTTGGAATTTATACTGTGAAGAGATGAGAGACCGCCATCTAATGGTCTACTGGTTTACGTGCACTTCAGCACACAACGCAACTTCCTTTCTCTCCTGCACAGTCTGACCGGTGTGAACAGCTGACCGGCACAGAACTGCCCAGTCCAGTCTGACCTGTGTGAACAGCTGACCGGCATAGCACTACCCAGTCTCGTCAGACTGAGCTCCCGGAAGTGACTGGTCCAGCCCTGATCCTGACCCTGATGCTACTCCTGGGGTTTGACCAGAGGAGGTTGTCCAGTGATTCTGGAAGACCTGGTCCTACTAATATCCTGCCTTCAGAAGGGTTTCAACCACTGTACGTCTGCTAAAGTAACTAAGGAATCACCAAGTGTGTCTCTTTTAGAGGTGTCCTTTGGGGGTCCCAGGACAGTAAGCTAAAGTGAGGTGCGCCCCTGGGGGAGCCTGGCGGGATGAAGGCTCCGTGGTGCCGCTGAGCAGAAGTCCTGGAAGTCCTCTCAAGAGAGGGTGTGGTAATTAAGAGGTCAGGTAGGAGCTCACAGTACAAAGCCAGCAGTGGACACACAGGGGGAAGGAGCGGGGCAAGCGTCACTGCAGAGCAGCGAGATCCTGTCTTAAACCAGCTGTGAGACACACCCCTGACCTCTGACCCCTGACCTCCGCCCTCCGCTCCACACCGGGAACACATCCCTTGGGAGGCTTGAACCTCTGCAGGACTGCTGGGCCTCGACCCTGTTGACGGCCCTCGCGGTGCATCCCGCTGGGGCGGCTGCCCTCTGCTCTGCAGGTAACATTCCCAGAAGCACAGCACTGCTCTCCTCCAACCCCAGGGCCTTTATTATTAATAGCTTAATTAATTAATTCAACTGATTATTGTTTGGTTCGTCAAATAAATTACTAAATTGAAGGAGTATGGCCCCTCTTTCATCACAGTAGGTGAGGAAAAGTGAAATCCCAGTGAAACAACAGTGAAATCCCAGTATGGCACAGTGAAATCCAGTGAGTTTATGGTGAAGCACAGTGAATTCACGGTACAGTTGAATGGAATCCTGTGAGATTATAGTGAGGCACAGTGAAATCTCGGTAAATCACAGTGTTTTCTGAAGGATAGTTGCTGTGTTGATTGTACAATGTATCCTCTTACTGGGAGGCCAGAGCAGGCCCAGACATATACATGGTGGCTGGAATGAACTCAGGCATGAGGCATATGCTGGGTTAAGAGTATCTTTATTGCCAGTTTGTCTCACTCGCACACAGTCACCTGTGCATGCGCCGTTTCTTGGCGCAGCGAGGGAGGGGGGTGGGGGTGAGACTGGCGTGGGAGGTGGGCTCTGGTCTCCTTCAGCTGCTGCTGGGAGCCGTGGGGGGGGCGGGCATGGCTGGCAGGGTGAAGCAGCCCTTCTTGTGCCACTGCATGTCGCGCACGCGGCGCACAGACTGGATCTGCGGCAGCGCGGCCTCCCAGTCGTTCCAGTGCTTGTATTCGCCATGCTGGAACACGAACTGGCGCCCCCTGTAGCCCGGGTACATGTAGGCCACCCACCTGCAGGAATGAAAAGGTTCATTAGACCTCCTATTTGGCCTTCTAGATATCAAAGGAGACAGAAGTCGAAGAGGTCAGTCAGACAGCATGAGAGCAGAGTGAGAGGCCAGCGAAGACACTGCAGCATCGAGTGTCGAGGAGCCAACACAACACTCACCCGGACTGTGGGGTACAGGGAGTGCAGTGTAGAAGGGTACAGTGGGGTACAGTATAGAGGGGTAGAGTGCAGTACAGGGAGTGCAGTTTAGAGGGGTAGTGTGGGGTACAGGGGAGTACAGTGTAGAGGGATACAGTGGGGTACAGTATAGAAGGTTACAGTGGGGTACAGGGAGTGCAGTGCAGAGGGGTACAGTGGAGTACAGCGCACAGGGGTAGTAGGGTACAGGGAGTGCAGTGCAGAGGGGTACAGTGGAGTACAGCGCACAGGGGTAGTAGGGTACAGGGAGTGCAGTGCAGAGAGGTATAGTGGGATACAGGAGAGTACAGTGTAGAGGTACAGCGGAGTGTAGAGGGGTACAGGGGAGTACAGGGAGTGCAATGTAGAGGGGTACAGTGGGGTAAGGGGGAGTACAGTGGAGAGGAGTACAGTGGGTTACAGGGGAGTACAGTGCAGAGGGGTACAGTGGGGTATAGTGTAGTTGGGGAGGTCCCAAAGGGAGAACAGGGTTCACAAGCAGGGGTACAGGATGGGGTGCAGCAGGATGGAGACAGACGGACAGGTGACTCAGGGGGTACAGTGGGGTGGGCCTTACGTTCCATTGAGTGCCTTCACACTGGCAACGCGGTCCTGGAACCCGTGCGCCCACAGGCTGGGCACGTCATCGTCCACGATCTCCATCTTGCGCCCAGCAAAGCCAGCGTTCTCGAACAGGAGGAGCTTGTGCTCTGCGCTGTCCTGGTGGAGAGACACCCACATGCATCCTTCAATACTCACTGCCTGCTCTACACGCCTGCCTGTCTCTACCTGTGTGTCTGTGTGTGTATCTCTACCTGTGTGTGTTTATGTGTCTGTGTGTCTCTACCTGTGTGTGTCTGTCTGTGTGTGTCTCTACCTGTGTGTCTGTGTGTGTATCTCTACGTGTGTGTGTCTGTGTGTGTCTCTACCTGTGTGTCTGTGTGTGCATCTCTACGTGTGTGTGTCTGTGTGTGTCTCTACCTGTGTGTATCTGTCTGTGTGTCTGTGTGTGTCTCTACTTGTGTGTGTGTGTCTGTGTGTGTGTCTTTGTGTGCATCTCTACCTGTGTATGTCTGTGTGTGTCTCTACTTGTGTGTGTCTGTCTGTGTGTGCATCTCTACCTGTGTGTGTCTGTGTATATCTCTACGTGTGTGTGTCTGTCTGTACCTACAGTATGTGTGTCTGTGTGTGTTTATCTCTACCTGAGTGTGTCTCTGTGTGTACCTGTCTGTCTCTACCCGTGTGTCTATATTTGTGTCTGTCTGCAGGGCGGGACTCACAACTTGGAGTGGGCAAAGGGACATGATGGTATAGCTGGCCTGGCTGTTGGACCAGGTGTCCCAGCGAGGATACTCTCCCTTCTCCAGGATGAACTGCTCGCCTGCGCAGCCCTGCCGCTCGAAGCCCAGCCAGCTGAGGGGGAGAGGGGCACAGGGAGTGGCAAAGAAGGGGTAAATTACACATGGCCCCAGCACAAAACACTGAGCTTGAGAGAGACCTTCAGCACACTGAGCATTATAGCACATTCACAGTGCACTGAAGCATAACACAAAGTGGCATAGTGGGTAAAGTGTACGACACTTCAATGATCACGATCATATCAATGTATTCAGAGAGCAAATGTGCAGTGAAAATTGGAAACAAAGGACCAAATTCTTCACCCAAGGCCGTGGGGTGGGACGGGGCTGCAGCCTGAGCCCAACACTGTTCAATATCTATATCAACGAATTAGCAGGAATGTTGGAACAGTCTGCAGCTCCTGGTCTCACACTACACAGTCAATCTGGACAAGACCAGAGTTATGGTTTTACAGAAAAGAGTATTAAAGTATTGGCTACACCTAAAAAACAGCGATCAAAATTCCTACTACCACAAAGCCCTGCTGAGCCAAGAGCTGAGCCCAGCTGGTCCTGAGGCTCACTGACCTGAGCCACACCGACACTAACCAGCATCAGGACAGCACTGCTAGAGCACCACAACTCAGACTCAACCACATCACAGCACAGACCAAACAGCAATATCTCACACACTGGGACACACACACACAAACACAACATAAACTGGAATGCTACAGAACCCTAAACAGACAATATACACTAGCTGAATATTTGACCAAGATAAGAAACAGCAAAAGAAACAAGCCCTGACGAAGTACAGGCTCAGTGACCACAGCCTGGCCATAGAAACTGGGCGACACAGGCAGACCTGGCTGCCCAGAGAGCACAGGCTGCGCTCCCACTGCCAGCAGGGAGAAATAGAGACAGAGGTGCACTGCACTGCGACACATATTTTGGGATTAGACAAAATTTCTTCCCTAAATCTAATCCCAGAGTTCCCACACCTGCCAGAATCACAATGGGTCCCAGTCCTACTGGGAGAGGGAGGAGGGAACTCAGGAGGCAGCCCAGTATGTGATCTCCTGTCGCAACCTGAGGAACAGTGAGTCTGTCTCCTAATAATTAATGCTCAGTGTGTTTACAGCATCTGTAAATATGTTATGATATGTCTTTGTTGTAAATGTCTGTAATATGTCCATAGATTTTATTTTACATTCATTTTGTTTCGTGTTAATTTTATTATTTTTTCTTGCTTTGGCAACACTGATTGTACCCATCACTCATGCCAATAAAGCATCTTGAGTTGAATTGAAATTGAATTGAATATATTGCCCTCTGGTGGACAACAGTGGAACCACCTTTAAATGCATTAAATGCATTTTGGCATTTAAATGCATAAATGCATTAATTTATGCATAAATGCATTATGCATAAATGCATTAATGGCACCTAATTGGCAGACAGTCAGATAGACAGGTATGCTCACAGAAAGATACTCACGGGCCAGACTCCACCAGCACAGAGCCCACCTTCTCGAACCCAAGCTCCCCCAGATCCTTACACTCTGCTGTGAGCTCTGCTTTCCGGCCCTGGAAATTCTCCAGTTCAAACAGCACCACCTGGAAAGAAAGTGAAGAAGAGAGGAAGAGGGAAAGATTAAATATGATGTATAATTACTCTGTTACTGTTTCTCTCACACCTGAAGAAGGCTCCACAGCCAAAACGTTGTGTTTCCTTTCTTCTCTTTTAAGCAGGGAATAAACCTTTAACTCAGTTATTTGCAGCCTACGCATGCTGACGCAGCTCCCTACTTATCTAATTACACAGTGCTGTACAGGACAGTACTGTATATACAGCACATCCAGACATCCACTTCCAGTAACAGCTCATACTGGACACCTGCCCAGCTCAG